ACAAACTCAAGCATTGACTGCTCCGTAAACAAGGTCGAAGACTTGCACCGATATGGCGATAAAGCGATCGATAGATAATGCCTAGTTTTTATTCCCGTTCTGTACAGGACAAGAGGAGAGTTGTCTAAGTTCCAGTTGAATCAAAGTGTAATTCGGTTACTATTCAGTTACGAACACGATTCGTTGCAACTGTTTTTGTATGCAATGAAAGGTGCTACGTGATACCCCTACCGCACCCGTACAAACGAAATAAAGGTTATTACGATGCATGGAGTCGTAAATCAGATTGACCGCAATGCCTATCTATGCCACTTTTGAGAAACCCTTACAAGCGATGTGAACGTATTTGTGCAGAACAGCTGCGTTTAATGAAGAGGCTCACAAGAAATATCGAGTCCAACTTCAGTGGCTGCCTGTTTTTCCTCGTTTCTGATGCCGCTTAGGATGCAGCCATGTATGCTCTGCACAGAAGCGGTTATCTGTTAACATCAAAATTACGCCGACAAAAATCAATCGAATGTATAAATTTCATAAATCTATCCATACTACAAACATTTGAGGTTTCATTCAAATACAACATCAACAACAAAGTGGCCTCCATTTGTGTTCTTCACGGCAGCTATTTGCTTCACCCAATTTTGCGTGTATATGGCTCTATCTCTAAAATGGCAATACGGATATTTCTTCCAAGGTTTTTCCACCGTTAATGGATGATCGTAGACCCATATTCCTCAGAGCTATTTATGATAGGTATTTATATAAAAAAAAAAAATATTGTCTCGTACGGCTTCTAGGGTGGAAGCATCATCAGCTTCCTTTTGTCGAAACTGTAAACTTGGTCCCTATCAGGAGATGATTGCAGGTCTTTTTGCGCTTCAAATGTTACGAAAGGTTTGCAAGATATGAGGCTTTAAAAGGCCGCTTCTTTATTTTACCAATGACGTGCGCAGCTTACTTGAGGAGCACTTATATGAGCGGCTGATCTTCAGAAGTAGTGACGTCGAATACTCTCTCAGAAGTTGCGACGCAAGCAAAGTGTGCTACGACGATCTACAGATGGTAGACGAACCCTAGAAAAATAAGCCTGTGCTGCCACTTCAAAGATAGGACCAACTGCATGTCAAAAACTGGCTAAGGCAAATGGCTATGTTTAAGTGAAACTTGAAATGTGCAAGGTCAGTGATAAACAAAGATGTACATAAATACATTCGTTCTTTTTTTGTTGGCGTCATTTTGAAGTTGTTCCTGTCAGGTGATCCATCTGTATACATTATAATTTTGTATATTTCAAATCGCCCGCAAGTATTATGCATTAAGGTGTTTAAAAAGTATCAATAATATGGCTCTGTGCCAACCGTAATTGCTTTAATTGTCTAAACCTTGGTTGTCGAAGTAACCCCTGTGGATTATTTATTCAATTCCTTACTTGTTTTTTTCAGGCGTTTCTTCCACCTTGCAAAAAAGGGTTATTTGGAGAACGGGGAAATCGAAACAACACAGATATTGTTTTTTTTCTACAAAAACGGCACACGTGTGAGCCATTACAATATCGCAATGAACACATGACCTTTTGAGTTTTAAACTGGTCTGAATTTTGTAAAATGTCTCGTAGGTGTTATTAAGCGTGCTGTTTCTTTTTTCCATATTCTCTTTCCATAGATGATCATAGGGTCATCGTCAACGTTTTTTCTGTCATGGCCGTAGACATTGACTTGACCCGGCATTAACTAGAAGTTTTCAATCATGTTTGAATGACTTTGTTATTTGCGCAGAATGTCTTGCACGGTCTTTATTGTAGCATCTTGGCCTTCCAGAAAGATACAAATGTGCATGACCTTAGGGGCAATCTGCTCTTTGGTTGCGCACGGCCTTAGTCCATTTGCATTAGTACACACACAGACTTCGATCACACTACATAATCTTTGTTTTCCTCGCCATGATGGCAAGCGCAATAATTAGTACCCATAAGTACATTGAGTAATCACTCGATTCTTTGCTTTTTTTTCGTATTATAATATTACCTAGATATTCTAGTGAGTGTGTTTTTCCTGAACCTAGCTTACGTTCTCGGCAATATCATAAGAATCATTCAAGGTCATATCGTTTTTTCCCAGGCATGCCTCAAACGTTCCTAGAAGGGGAAGATTAATGGACAAATACAGTGGCAGAAATATTTTTCCTTGAAATAACATTACCCTGTAGAATTTTAGAATACAGATCTTTTTAGGGCAGCCCGCAGTCTTTCAGCCTATATAAAACATGCAGTGTCTACGTACACTGTACGTTCGCTGCATGTACTCATAGTCGTCTATAGTTCTTCATTTGCTTGTAGCTGTTTCGACCGCTAAAATACTGGGAACTTTGGCGCAGCCCCGCTCGCATGGACGGATAGATAGCATTAGCCCGTTTGGCTTCCGTCGATCTTATAGGTCTCGTTTATGGCGGTCGGGGCCCGTGTCAGTTAAGGATACAGTGTTATATATTTATGCACGATTTGCGTAGATCAGTTAAAGCAACTTAGCTCAAAACATTAGGGCATTAATCACGGGATGCTTATGGAAACACAGACCGCGGCAAAGGATCGCCAACAGGTATTGGAAGGCAGTAAAGGCAGAAGAATGAAAACGTCATTCCACGAAAAAATTCCCTAATTATTCGAACTGTTTGTCTTGTAGCAGACACTTACCTGTCCTTCGAAAAACATTTCGAAGTTCTTTTCAAGTTAGTAACTCCGATGAACAAAAACAATAATTACTTTTAACGTATTTAAACTTTTGCGAGCTCAGGCACTTGAGTGCATACTGTCAAGAAGTAGAAAGTTTAGATCTTTTTTTACTATGGTTTTACATGATTTACTTCGTAGATGTTTTTAGCGCAATTTCTACCTACTATTGATTTTGTTTCCTATTTGGTTTATTGGCTGTACGTTTTGTATAGGTTATAACGATTACTTGTTAAATACGGCCTAGCACATCTACGAGGGCACTTGACTCGTATCGTACCGCTGATTATTATACAGTTGTACATAATTCTATGCCAAAATGTACAGTTTTATTTACTTACTATTTGCGAATAACAGGATTCAAATGCATGAAGACACCAGCGGTCCTCTATGCCAATTAGCGTATTTGTTAATACGGTGCTTGTTAAGTATCCGTTTTCCAGCAGTAAGTTAAGAGAATCGTAGCACTCATCTGGTAGTGAAAGGAGCTCCGCACAAAGAATCGCTTGTCTCAAACAGAACAGCTTAGCTTGTCTGAACGTCGTTGGCGCAAACGATTATGACAGAAGATCTAGAAGATTGCATACAAGAACGCCGAACGATTAGGCATGCATCTACATACATATGCAACAGCGGCGCAGTGTCTATAGCACACGTGATACTCCTCTTGGCGAGTCCGTAAGTACGCTATAATGCAACAAGGCGTATTAGGAGTGTCTTCAATGAAGCAGAGCTAATTATACACGGTGTGTCAAGCAGCCTGCTTATTGGCGGACCGATATACGAATCGTATGTAATACACGTAAGTAGGCCTAACACAGTTTCTGGGTTTATTTTTGTGTTATGTTTAGCAGTCAATACGAATCTATAAATTGCAGGTATATTTCTACAGCGAATCTGAGTTTCAGCCCGCAACCCTTTATAAATATTTGCTACTGGCTGTTCAGGCATTGATACATTATTGTAGTTATACATACACTGAATTCACCCACAGGTGTTTTTGGTACCAATATCGGTAAACGCGTTAGGCCTCCATTATTGCCGACACGGTATTTACGGCATGCTTATACTGTGTATTTTTATAGAAATTTTTTCAAACACTGTTCTGGAGATGGTTTCGTCATGACGGAACTTCACGCTTCACTTCTTGTATACCTAAGAAGCCTTTAACACATTCATCAAGCAAAAGAAAGCGCGCCTTCCGAAGTATGAACTTAACGCGCAAGAACTAAGATTCATGCACACGCTCCTCGTTATGCTTCCTCTTTCCTATCGTTGGAGTTTTGGGGTTTTCATAAGGACAATGCATGCACCGATGTTTCACAGATTAGAGGGCAGATCTCTCAACGATAGCAATAGAGAACGATATTTTTCGCTGACTAAAGAGTTAGCCTTCATGAATATTAACATTGTTGAATATGTGACACAGCATGGTAACGGTGGCTTTATAAGAAAATAGGATTACAACGGGCCAAAGGATAACGTTAGCTCGCTGAATCTAGCGAGATCCGTTTACTGACACAAAGTGAGGTCGATGCGTTCCAATATATTACCGATAGAATCTGAACGTTTTTTTTTCCTAAAAACGTTTACATCGTCGTTCTCTGCTTCAAAACATCTGATTACTTAACAGTTGTATCATTATTAAGTAGTATTCGTGTTTTCACTGGATCATTGAAAGCAAGCGGATTAGCGAGAGGCTATTTTATTTATCAATTCGTTGATTGGATTTTGAAAATGTCACACTTCTTCCGTTAATGGCCGCTTCTACACGCAATGCAATGCATAGCTTGGCTGCAGTGGTCCAGTTAGTCAACGATTGTGACAACGGTCAACGGGAAAGGTAAAGATGGCAAAAACAGCTTGACTCAGATGGTCACCATAGCCGTATTATATTTGTTCAGTATTACAATAGTACCTGCGAACTTCAATATACGATCCTATCCGTTGTGTCAATGGGCAACAGAAACAAATATTATCGACTACTCAACGATCTAGTATTCAATTAGCTGTTAAGTATGTACGTGCTAAAAAGGATGCTAAATCTAGTTAAGGAATTCAACAATGTGACTCCATTGGCACTTTGCATAGCCGGTGTTGATTTTTTGTGTGCCTCCACCATTGAATGATGAATAAGTAATCCCCTCTGAAGCAGATAGCACTAGAAGGGCATATTTAACGCACTCTGAGATGTGTACCTGGCTAGCTAGTACATATGGTGCGGCCAGGGTGCCCTTTCGTCGCCGCTTAAGATACTGTCAACCACACGCGAAATCGAAGAGGCTCTTGCGGTTTCACCATTTTTTATTTGTCCTAACACACATATGATTACTATGTCATCCTATAAATCTGTTCGAAATGTAGATCCGCGGGCAAACTCCAGAAAGTCTGCCTTGGCCTGCTTAGAACTTGTTCTCTCTGAGCCTTCGAACGGTGGCAAGTCCTCGACTGAAAAAATGTTCGCACAGTGGGAGTAGCCGAAGGCATTCAATTAGCTGTTAAAATGCTAAGGTATTCTAGAACATCTTAAACAGACCGGGATGTAGCGAACTTGTGGACTACATATGGTCCATGTAGATATCCGTAACAAAACATTCTACCGAAGTCCCAACGATGTTCGGAGCAATTAAACAATGCATAGGAAAATAGAACGATGCATACATATTTGAATGACTCATATAAATTATCGTTATCTCGACCATTTTAATATGCGCCACTTTTCTTTTTACTTCTCCCACTAGCATTACATAGTCTATATATGTGAAATCTCCTAAGCTTTTTTGTTTTGTTCTTTCGAATTTGAAATCATCGTAAGGCTTGTTGCCCTCCCTGAAATGTGCTTTTACATACTCTGCTAGACGCGCAATTACGGATGAGATGTGTTGGGGGGACACATTGGGACCCAGGCCATGTCTCTGTGCCCACAACGGGTCCGTTCTTACTTTATTCCATATATAGTTGGGACTGTACGGCGTCAACAGGGAAGTGAAACGAGCACAGGCGTCCTTGTGCTTCAGGATTCCCTAGCGAGTCGTCAACGTGCACGCTATTTAGGCTTACCACCCTCACTGCATCGGCCATCGAAGGCCGGTACAAGGTCTTTCAAGGCCCGGTTGTAGTGGGCGTTGCATTGGCATTGAGTTGCGATCAGTCCGCAATAAATCTACAATAGGAAAAGCACAGAACAAAGTACATCGCTTTTTTAGGTTTGTGTGTATCCTGTGTAGAGTAAAATGGTCTGAAGGTTCGAAATAGCGGACCCTGCTTAGTTGTCTCGAGCGGCCCGAGGATAGGAAAGAAAGAGTTAGCTCCTTTCTACGCCTACCAAAGTTACCGTACATGGAGACGCGTGCTTTTCGATGCTGATGCAAATCTAACAAAGGCATTAAACAATATTGCAAATACTGTTCATTGTTGAGTGTCCAAAGGTCACAGAAGTGAGGTTTATAAATCTCCCGGAGAACACCCAAAACGTACTCGTATGATTCCACGTTTGTTTTATTTCGTTTTGTTAGTAATAGTAGTTTCAGGGAATGGGTTCAGTTAGTTCACTGGGAAAGCGTGCCTCTGACGATATCACAATCAGAAATAATGATATATAGCGGAACGTTTAATGTATAATTAGACTTGTAATTATAGTAGAATTGCTCCGTCGCTCGCACTGATAAGGATACTGTATCTCAGGATTTGCGCCGTTCTTTCTGATTACTTTCAATGGCGAGTTTTTTTACATTTAGAAATGATTCCCTTTGACCGCAATAATAACGAGCGCGAAAATATGAATATTCTCACTATAGTATACTTGTTGGTTGTTGATAGATGTCTTCGGGTGGTGCATTTATATTTGCAAAACTCCAAAGAGAGCCTACAAATGTTGCTATATGTTTTACGAAAACATTTGTTTTGTTTCGACAGCACACGGGAAGATAGGTAGCCTGACGTCGAATTGGATTCGAGATATCCAAGTAATACACTTTGCCCTTTTTTCGTTTTGAAATTTTTGGACCGGCCTGAATTAAGCAAAACTATTCAGGATACTTCACGTAATGACATATACTTAGTGAAATAGAATTCTATGACGAGGCTTAACTATGGATCTTAGAAAGCTGAGGTTCAGAGTATACCGATACGCTGGAGCAAGCTCTAAGACTACAAAACTATTAACTATTTGAAAGTAACGATAAAATGTGTGCAAACATGTACCAAGTGTGCATGTAATTTCCGTTTTCAATTCCCCGTGAGAGGGTGACCTTTGGGAGTTAAAGATTGACCAACGTAACAGGTAAATTATTTTTGTGTACTCAAATCATTTATTTTTTTCTTTTTGTATATCTAATTACGTACATGTATCATAATAAAACTCTGTGATGATTTCATAGAGCATATAGCTTTCCTGTGTAATTGAGATTTATGAGCCCCTAGAATCTTTTGGCGTTTTTCCAAGAATCGATCAGATCGTCTGTAAGCTTTTGCTTACGAAGTGATGCCAGTCTTCGTAAATAATAGCGAGGGATAGAGCAACAAGATGAATTACTAATATCGCAAGTTTATTGGCTTAATGCTAATTTATAGCTTATACATTTTTTTGATATATTAGACACACAAAATGTAACCTACTGATAGGCGAATATGGCGGAATCCGTTATTTTTTTCCGTTTCTTATATTTTTGTGTCGTCGATAGCTCTGGCGATACGAGCCCTCGAAGGTCAACGCTTTCCGTCGCATCCGAAGTAATGGCACTTTCAGAGCCTACAGAGAAAGGAAATTTAGAAATCTCATATGTAGTGAATGCGAGACAACGAAGGATATATACATAGGCAAATTCTGAATGGAAAAGCCTAGGTGTTTTCCACCCACAGTGCACGAAGCCCTATTTATTTTCATTTATTTTTTTTATCTAGGTCAATAAAAAAACTGCGTATTTCATCTTCTTAATTTAATTGCCCTTTTTATTTTTTATTTGATTTTTATTGTTAAAAAGCCCTATGTGTGATCTATCGAAATCGGCTGCAGTGAAACACATCTTGAAGATGTATTTGTACTTCTCCTGTTATCATAGATTACTATCTACGTATATAAAAATACTTACCACAGTACCACGTAGTTATAAAGACGTTGACTAATTGCTTTAACGGAATTTCTGCATAATGCTTTTGCAGGGCGCTGAAATCACACAGGTTGTGTTGAATCTTCCAAGAGCAGTGCTCTTCCGCAAGATGTCCACAACAGCAACCATGCTGCTAGTAAGCCGGACGACCTACTTAGCTGTCACGCTAAATAGCCGAGTCGTATTAGTTCCTGATTCGTTGCCCGATACGATATCGCTGCAAAGGGAAAATAGATTTGGTCCAACTTGATTGAATGTATCTTTAGCAGGCACACACAGTTTGTCTGTGTCCTATTTGGGTTGATCGATCCTGCTGTAAAAAAATTGTTGCGCACTTTCAGAGAATGTTGCCATAAGAGGTTATATAAACACGTTAGATAGTACATTTCATATTCCTCTTCTTTCGCCGAACTTACCTGGGACTTATTGATTTGTTTAAAGCGTAGTTCCTAAACGTTGTTAATTTTGCTTGTAAATCATGAGCTTTTCTCGGGGAATTGTAGACATGCGCTAGTGATAATTAGTTGATGTATGTGAAACTTCACGGTGACGTTGCCCCTGGAGTGCCCTATGACATACGTGTTAATTGTGACGGGCAACTATTGTCAAGGGCATAACGATACCTATTAGTCTGCGTTTGGTGGTGCGTCATGCACGGCTTACTATTCGTACATGGCGAGTACGCAGCTATAATGACTACTACGGGACATAATTAAATGATGCATTATAGCCTATTATGTTGTAGGACCCTATTAGTAGAGCCGTACTCATACAGGCAAATAAGCATCGACAACACGTAGGTACCTCTTCCGTGGAACGAAGAGAATTACGGACATTCTACTACACGAATAAGGACAAATATAACCATTGATACGTTAGACGGCCCTGGCCTTTGCGAAGCAACTCCTACTACCTAATAAAACAAGGCGGGCGCAAGAGCAATCTCTATAGGATGTTCTGATCCGGTTCCCCGTGCACTTGATAAAGCGACGATAGCGACGATGATCATCAACAAAGGGGTGCTTCGCTGAGCTTGGGTTGCCCGTTCCACTACTGAAATGGTAATCTGTGTGTTCAGACAAGCATATGTGGATAATATCAGCCCTGAATCTAATCCGGATTAGCCTCTATACCAAGACTCATAATTACTTGTGTGACGCACAACAGTAACTTCGATTTACATTTCTTTCTGTGCTGGCTGTACCTGTGTAATACGAAGGAGTTTATTGCCTTTCGATGTACCATATAAAAACTGACGCGGTTAGGAAAGAAACAAATAGATGAAACATAATTCGTTATCTCCGAGTATCGGTGATAACATTTCATAGCAACGCTTTTCAGCTCTGCATCGATATCTTTCAACGCATCAACGAATTTTGCTCTGAAAAGCAAGAACGAAATTCTAGATTCCGTTTGCTTAAACGGGTCCCACAAAACAATCAGCTAGGTTATTAAGGAGTGGCCTGTTGTAGCAATGGGCCATTGCGAACTGAGAAGTTCCAGAAAACCTAATTAATTTTTGTCAGTAAGTTTCTGAAGTACACGCAGCATCTGTTTTCTTGCAAGAGACGTGAACTACGACAAACAATGTTAGTGGTTCACCTGACTTATCCGACTAACGGAACCCTCAGACAGTCAATTATAGAATGTTTATTCAAGTTGATCAGGTACTTGAGTGTTGGAAGAAATACGCAACATGTTTGCGCTAAAGTTCAATATTGTAAACAGTATATAACTTGTTAGAGATTATTAACCTGTAGGTTAAAGGTATTGAAATTAGTTCAACCTTTTAAATAGCTATTGTCGTATGCCGAAATTTTAAGATTTATCCATCAGTTAGTACACGCCTTGCATGTTTTTCGTGGTACTATTGATTTTATTGCACTAAAATACTAATGGAATGGGCGTGCTGGCAGTACCTTTGTTATCGGTCTTTGGTTTCCGAACTTGCCATTTTAACCGAACTAAGAACTAATAGTAGAATAGAATATATCTAAAATACACACCAAAAACAGTCAATTGTGTGTCTAATAAAAACGAGGACAACGGAACACACATTAATTCTTTACAACCTGGCTTTGAAACAGCGGTCGATAATGCTGTCATATTATATAACAACAAAACATTTACCGTTATATTTCTCCGAAAGTAGCAATTTTCGAATCTGCTATGCGCTCTTATGCGAAAGTCTGCAAAATGCCGCTCCTGCCTGTTCGCGTCGTTAAGAAGCCAGCATGGCTATTCAATGGCGTTGTCAGAGTCCAGTGATATGGTCGTCGTACGGCTGACGCTGGCGCTTGTGCAAATCATATATCTTGTGTCCGGATGCATAATATCTATTGGATCTAAGTATACTGTGTTAAAAAAAAAAAAAAAAAAAACATTAAAAAAAGGCTACGATATATGAGCGCTGTGTGATTTTCCATGAACGAAAATTTTGCGAAATGAGAATGATTGTTTTTGATAGCGTTTGTCTATACGAGCTGCCTATCGAGCCGTCGGCCTGTATTCAACTGTATATTGATGGAATCACGAATTGCTTATCCGAAGCAATGTATCTTGAGTTACACCATTCCATAGTGTCATATAGGGCAAGGTCGGAGATACCGCTTTCGAAATGCACGTAAATAGTACCATTTCTGTTTCTTCTAGCATCTTATTTTTTTATAATATTTTTTTTTCAATTATATATTTATTTATTATTTAAATAGATAAATAAAAAAAAATATTTATTTAATTTAACCCTGTTATATTGAAGTGATTATGCTTGCGTAGTTCACTTGTTCTAATCTGAATCGAAAAATGTGCCATCGTCAAAGAAAAAAAAGCTAAATTTTTTTTAAATTTTTAAAACCATTGCTGACTGCATCATTATAAATTATGATTCTATGCATATGTAAAGGTATAATGAAGGTTATTTGCCAGTTGTTGAAAGCCACAAAAAAGTGATATTGACACCTGGCTCAAAAATACTGTTCATGCATACGACGCAGGTGAAATAGGCAAAGACAGCTTTTAATAGTGCAATTTCAGTTTTACCTATGCAAATTTTAAAACAATCGGACAAAGGACGACCACCTGTTAGTTACTGAACTCTTAGGCTAAGCAAGCCACATATACGAGCCTTCTACAAGTGCTGCTTGGACCTTACCCTGTCTGCCTCCCAAAAACTCGTTCGAGTTGAAAAAATAGTGTGTGACATCACTGTATAAAGTGGAAAATCGGATTGTCAATATTTTCAGAACATCCATGCCATCCATGCAAAAAAAAAGTCGCCCTATAACGTATTTATTTCAAATGGTACAAATTTTTGCTCCAAAATAAAAAAGAAAAGATGGCGTCGTTCTCTTAAAGACGGTTAGTCTGGCTTCAGAATGCTTCAGCATCAAACAAATTTACAATTAAACAGGTCAATACTTTCGTATCTCGGTCTCTGCTATGACGAACACATACAGAGCCTACTTACAATGTTTGTAAATGAAGTTCCAGTTTAATAGAAGAAGCCTTGGTAGTGAATCCATCTGAAAGGCCCAAACGATTTTACTCATTGTATTTACCTTCGTTTAGCTTACTCAGCCGTGGTGCTCTGTTCGCTTAATTTTGAACTAAATATAGCGGTTACCAGCCACCGGCCGTCAGGCCTATGGGAACGCTGTGGTTAAATATTCGGAATCCTTTGGAGCCTCTTTTTTCTATACTTTCCAGCTATCTATCCGTCTTCTTATTGGACAGATTTATGTACGGATATCTCGTACTCCATCGTTAATGTTTCGTTTTTAAGGCAAATAAGACTTGTAATTTTGTTCTACGTGCCTAGCGAATATTTCAATTAGGAGTACGGCATATCTCCATTAGCATTTAAAAGGACACCTTCTTAGCAGCGGACGTGTATATTATTGTCTGTTCCGGGTACCAAAGGCACAACCTTTAAATCCTATTTGCAGTTTTCCATTGTTCGCCGGTCCGAAGAAAATCCAGATGATTTAGTTAGCGGGCAACATCTATTTTGCATTTCCGCCCGAGGTAACATGTTCTTGTATTGTTTTCAACGGCGGGACGTTGAACAACTGACCGGCGACTCGATCAGTGACTAGTTCAAATAGAGCGTCCATTACTAGTAGTTAAATTCGGACATTATCGACATGCGGAGACGCTGTTCCTATTTAGGACCATATACCTTAAGGCATTAACTTAGGAAGACATCTTAGTGCTATTACGGGCACAGCCAACATAATGGAGGCTCGGTTAAGTGTACGCAAAGTAAGGTACGTTTATGGACCTTTGCGGTAGCTTGTTAACAATTAGCATAGCGTTTTAAATACCAAGCAAACATTGATTTATCAGATAGTATTCGAGATAACTCTAGATAGGATGATCATTAGTTTTACAAGCTTTACGAACAATGTGTACTAATATTCCTTACTTGTTCCGGACTTACAATATTCCTGGTACATATGGCTATGGTAATTGTTTCATAGCCCCTAGAGTGCAAATTCTTCTAAGTCCTATTGTAACAATAATAATATGTAACTATTTGTTTAAAATAATTTGATCGAATTGAGGTTTAGTTAATTTGGTTCAACATAATACAAATAGACAAACGTTACCGTCACGTACTTGTAAGTCGCGTGACCATTTCAGGTCCAAAAAGAAGGTACTTCAACGCTTCCTAAGTATAATTGTCTTCTTTCCATTGAACTAAACATTGTACATAGTGCCTATAATATACTAATGCAAAATTAAGAAAGGTCTCGCCTCTAGGCACAATCCGAAGTGATCACCTTTTTTTTTTTGCCTGAAACCCTTTTAGAAATTCGCAGGAGCAGAATGGGAGACCGTGGAGTTGCCGTTAACGGAGCTGTCGTTATTGAGGCAATAAAAATACCACATCTACGGGATTTGTACACAATTTACATAAAGTATGGGCATATGCCGTCGGGATAGCGAAATCGTGAGCCCGGTTCTGCTGTGTGAACATTTTTTGCTCTTGAAGGCGTTGCTCGTAGAGCGAGTGGGGAGGAGCGATGTCGTAGGTTCTACGTGCAGCTATAATGGCGCGTTGAGACTATTTGATCGAGTGCGATTGTTTCCCCGCTTATGAATTCCTATGAGATAAGGATTCTTTACCTACACATTGTATCCGACACGAAAATAGAGATTATCTACTTGGCGTGAAATTAATCATACCGACTCTTTATAAAAAGCTATCACAAGCTTTTGCTTTCACGTTAACTAGATGAGACCTTGTGTTTCAATTTTGAGTCGGACCCATTACGTAGCGCTTCGAAAAAACTTTCCTCAACAACACAGACGTCACTGAATGTAGTGTACTACTGAGTATTAGCCTCATTAGCAGTCAAGATACATCTTGAGCTATAGTCCCAGATCCTAGATACAACAAAACGATTTTTTGGCATTTTTACCATGCAACCGTGTGAAAAGGCGCGACCTTTAGATACAGGGATGAAACTTCGCAAGTATACACATAATACTACCAAGAAAAAACTTATATTCATGGTCTAATAGCAGTTGGCTATGTAATGTAATAGAAGTTCTTTACTTGCAGCGTTGCCCATGGGGGGTAATACATCGAATTCTGTCACATTTATTTATGTCTACATCAAGCTACGAGGCATGACACTGGATAAAGCCCTCGGACTGTGACACACGTTGCTTGTGATTGATGCGAAGTACGTGAACAAGACACTGTCAACGCTATCGGTTCGTTCGCGGCTGGTGTAAATGGCAGATGTTAATTGGACTGGCACAATTGGCGTTGATCAGGAACAGTTAACACAGTCAGGTGTCTCTAATAAGCATAGTTCTGAAAAAAAATAAGCCCATATTTTATCGGTATCATTTTTACCAACAACGCGATCAGCGTCATAGTAATTAACGCACTAGTTAATATTAGTAAGACCACTTGCAGCAGTACCGTTATGTCTGCATTCTATCGAAGCAAGGAAAATATATTGGGGAACTTTAAAAAAGTGTCGCAGTTCATTGCTGTAGTGCCCTGCAGTAATCGTTGGCTCTGATTTTCCGGTCCTAAAGCTTGCTGTATTGAATAATAACGGAAATGTTTTCATATTAAGTATTCGCTCTGCAAAGCAGTTTATCTGATACTTAAACGAAAGTGCTTGATCGGATTTTTGAATCAGAGATCACACTGATTTGAAATTTTAATTCGTAACCAGGTGGAAGTTGTATTAGAGAAAGATATCCTTTCAACACATGTAAAATCGATACTGGCACAA